ACAGACACTCACCCCTTCACAGGGAAGTAAGGGCCAGGAAACCCGAGAAGATATGTCTTAACTAATCTATCAATGTATTAGAACGAGCACGATAGTTCCTGAAGGTGTGACTTGCTCTTGAGTTTTATTGGGATCCTGGATTCCGAGAAGCAGTGATGATGGTGTATATTTAGAAAATTCCCAGAGACGTGAGTTGGAAATTATTCATTTGCAAAATCTTCTGAGAACTGCTGAGTCTTCTGACACAGTATGACATTAGAATGTCATATTCCTGTCCATTACATGCCAGAAGCCATCGTCAGAGACTGGGGAAAACAAAAATATGCTGTGGCTTCTTATTTGAACTATCTCAAGATCTCTTTAAATTTAACCAAACTTCTGCTCATTATCAATTGGTCCCTTTTCCTCAAAGCCAACTTCTGCATGACAAATCGTAGGAGTTTATTTTCAGAATTCATCCTTAGCTGAAAGTTCCTTCGAAGGCCAGTCTATCCTACTTTGTCCCCCTGTTCCTTCCCCCAGGCTCCAGGCTGAGCTTCTTGCTTCTGTCCTCCTGGGATCACGTCTCTTTATCTTTCAGCCCAAAGAGACCCTTCTCGCTCCTTCTCCAGGAACCCCAACTCTCTCTGTGGCCTGTGATACAATCTTGTCTAGAAGCTCCTATTCCTCATGTTCGTAATTTTTCATTCGGGGTCTTTTTCTGCTATTTTTTAGATTCACTTCTTCATGATAACTTCAGGAGTCTACATCCCCCCTCACCCCCACCCAGTTTCAACTCAGGAATCTTTTACCTACAGGAGAATTCAAGGGTCACTACACACAGATTGACGGAGGAGACCTAAGAGTAGCAGGGCTGGGGGCTGGGGGGCCAGGCAGAATAATCTTTATGTGTTAGACACTCAAGTCCCCTTTCCACCTCTTCCCACCCGTCTCCATCCCCTGTGCTTCAGGGCCTTTGGCGGGTGAATCTTCCTGCGAATACGTGATGTGCTGAGACAGGCTCTGATCATGGCAGGTGCCGCCAGTAGGAAGTGGTGGCGACGGGCAGAGAATCACAACACGAAACACACGTACCTCCAGCACATTCTGTTGGGAACGTAAAACAGTGCAGCTGTGGTGGGAGCCAAACTGGCAGCCCCTCT